CCCTGTTGTTTTGGGGTAAAGAAATTTTGCAGTCTTCCCAGCTACCGTGTAGCTCCTGAAACAGTGTGGAAAGCTTAACCCCTTCACAGTGGGATTATTTTGACCGTGACTGCTGGGCTGTGGCATGCCCTGAATGGAGGGCTTTGTCCAGCAGCAGGCCCCATTGAACCAGCAGCTGCATGGTGAATAGATGGTATCCGTAGCGAAGGGGTTAAAGCCCACATCATAGTGATCGGTTTTTGGGGCGGGGTCCTTATAGGGAGCGAAGTGGATAGAAGCAGCATACATATGTCACCTTTACTGTTTGAGATCACTAATTGTAAGTCTTGTAATTTCATTTACAAGGTTTTCAGCATAAAACCATAGTGGTTCTGATTTTGGGAAGTTCATGTCGTCTACTTTAAGATGTAGTTATTGTTGTCATCTTTTTATCCTTTTCTACAGTCTCACATTGAGTAACCTCAAGTTTGCAGAGCACAGCGTAATCCTGTGTGATTTTAATATTCTAAGAAACAAATTTGAAGCATCAGTTTTTGAAAATAGATAAACAGGGTTTGTTGAAGTTTTTAAGAACCAAAGTTACCCCGAAGTGAAACGTGAAGGTGGGCTGCTGGTTTTAAACATAACCAGCAACTCATCAAAGCTAGGTAAACCATCTATTATCAGGACGATAATGAAGACTTTCCCCAAACTTGTACACAGTCATGTTAGGAAGTTTTTTAACCAATATTGGCTGTACCATCTCGGTTGGATTTGAAGACAAACAGGCAAGTTACATATTAAGTTTTGGAGAACAAAAGACAGAACAGTCATTAAGCCCTTTTTAAAAAGAATATGGGTCAAGTTTTGTTAATTCAATGCCATAAACCTGTTTCCAATGGAAAAAATATGCATTAAAAAATATGTATATCAACCACAGTTGTGGTGGGTTTATATTTGTTCCACTGATCTATAGCTCGTGATAAAACCAGTGTATTCAGACGCTCTGTGTCTTCAAACCAACTTATTCCATATACTGTAAATAGAAATCTGTAAATATCTGAATACTCCATAGTGTCAAGTACGGTGAGTTTTTTTTACTTCAAAGCGGCAAATCAATATTTATAGAACTTACTTGAATTGGACAAGAACAGCATTTTTTTGTTTTGTTTCTATTTTTAGTTTTAAAAAATGTGTATATGTAAATGTTACTATGTTTTGCTATTACATGGTAACCCTTCTATTGAAAGAGAACTTCAGTATTCCCAACGGGGAATGATGTCTGTGCGGAGGCTGTGATCGTTTATCTGAAGAGGAAACAGAATCAAAGGAAGAATATGTACCGGTAATTGATTACAATAGACCAATATTACAGAATAAGTGTGCCTAGACTTTCTTAGTTTAAAGATGGTTACGATACTCTTTGTATCTCTCAGTCCATTGAAAATTGCATGAAAACAAGCAAAGGATAATAAGGCAGTCTTTCCATTGCCGATTAAGAAGGTTGTGTCAGAATGTTGGTGCTGTGGTCTGTGAGATCGGTTGATCTGAACATACACTACAAAGTTGACAGGTTGGAAATTTCCTGCAAAACTTCCTGAAAATGAGTAGCGATCGGACGAGCATGGGTTAAACATATGGAAAAAGGATTTATATGACCTTGATGTGTAATTTTTCTCTTCAGGATTAATTGCATTAAATAGCTTCAGTTGAACTTGTAAACCGTGCATGGGTATTATATACACTGTATGTATGCCAAGTCCTGACGACCAGATCGTGTGATCAGAGATTCAGTTTATCATATTCCTCTTTTAAAGGCCCTGTTTTCCCCAGGACATTAATGTGATGTAAGTTACCTACATCAATGCTTAATACTGTTGCCCAGCGTTAACACTAACGACTGTATAATTGACAAGTTTAAGCAGGTTGATATTGGATGAAGTATACTTCTACATGTTGTTGAAGGCCCGTCAAATTTGCTCAGTACATGCTGATTCTGAAGTGGCCCCTCATTGGACAAATAAGAAGAAAATTGTGCTCTGATTGGCTGATGTTGCAGTGCCTCACGGTCATGAATTTACATACTACGTAAGGCCATGTCTTGATTACGTGGCTATGGCTAGAATCAACACACTCACCTACAGAGGCTCTTAGCCAGTGGCTTCATACATTTCCCACAGATGCATGGTTTATTTTCAGCCACAGGCCTGGACATTTTTTTGGGCTCACCTGTCATCCTTTTTGCATATCCTTGTAAGGAACGTTAAAGTAAAGAGAGCTATAAAAAGAAGGGGAGGTGAGCAGCATTAATGAATCATTTCTGACATCGGAAAATTGTACAGCTCTTATAAAAGTCTTGTTTATTTTGTGTTTCAGATCTGTGTATTAGGAAACTCAAAGAAAAAAACTCATGCTTGCAACGTGTATTTCTCCGAAGACAGTTCTTTTGTACAGCTTAATTATAATTTTTCTGTGTGTGCTTGCTTAGTGTATCCGTTTGTCAAACAGGGTCAACAATATTAGGAGAGCAAAGAAAAATGTTGTCTCCTTGAAATTTTAAGAAAAAGAAAAAAAGAAATCAACTCATGTACTGGAATTGTTCCCTCATGTATTTTTTGTTAGAAGAGTAACGATTCAGTTGAAATTTTGATACAAGATTTAAATGTATATATGTATGAAGCTAGCATCTTACTGTTTGCGGGAAGAATTTCTTTTCTAGGTCAGAACTTTGTGTTTTGTGTTTTTGTGACAGCCAAATGAAATGAATTTGTACAATGTATGTATGTAATTCAAAATGCAATAATGCTTTGCATAGGTGTAATAGTTGTATCCCCAAATATGGATGAGTAAATAAAATTTACTGAGCTTTTGAAAACTGGACAGAGATCTCCACTCTAGAACAGATTGTGATTGGTGCTAATCTTGTATTAGAATGTCACAAGTTTGTTTGGGCTTGTGCACAAAATTGAGGCAAGTTTGCTTTCTGTTTCGAAATTGCTATGAAAAACAAAACTACCCTTGGAAAATAAAATTTTCTATCTTTGCTAAACACCCATTCATCCTTGCTTGTAAAGCCTCTCTTTAAGTTTGAAGAGCCAGAATGTTGAATAGTTCTTGAAGACCTGACTCAGAAAATTTGGGAACTTTCGAAAAAATGGTTTTTGTAAGATACTTTGAAATTGCAAGATTTTTCCTGAAACAGTTTTTCTTTCAAATATTGTTGGGGGGGTCAAACTCTAGCGTGGCATTTTTTTCTCTCGTGTGTATCAAGCCGCAGCCAAATAAATGTGGACATGGCTTGGCTTTAGAGAATGGGCAAGTATGTAGAATTCACAGTGGATGCAGGCCGTAAATGCCATTCACTTGCATTGGTTTCCTCAACGTTTATGAGAATCAGATTTCCCATCTTGCAGTGTAGGCCTTTTGAGCTGTCTGGCAACCAAGGTTTCTTTGATCCAGTTTTCACAAATTGGCCTAAAGAAATAAACTGATTTCAAGTTGACATCCAGATCCAATGTCAGGGAAACCTTTTGAATCTTCACTGGCACTTGACAATTTCCCACTTTGTTCAATGCTTCTAATGCAAAAGTACCTACCTATGATTCCTTCAGATGGTGCATTAAGTTTAGCGTCCAAAAATCTTTCTAGGCAAACTTCATCTGTGTGTGATTAACATGGGAAAAACCTGATACAAGTGGTTTGACCCACTTTTGTGAAAATGAAAAGAAGAAATGAGCCTATTGAGCAAAGGTTACAGCCGTTTGCAGCAAGCAACCACGAGTGGTTATCACTTGTAACTCTTTCCGAGTCAACACACAAATTACACATTAGCCACTGTTTGAATATAGGTCACAGTCCAATGACCCTTTCACAATTCATGGCTGAAACGGGTTAATGTTCTCACAGACGCCAGTCTGCAGCAAGATGATAACATCCACGCCTGAATAACAGCTTTGTTTTCTGGCTTAAAACTCACCTTTATAAAGCTGCCAGGTTTTTTATTTATTTTTTGATGATGAATATGACACAGTTGTGTCTGATATGTTGACTTTTCTTTTTCATCTGTTTTAGTGGGGTGATGAATATAAATCCATACAAAATTACAAAGCTTGGGGTACAACTTATTTCCAATGAACTGTTACATTCTCTGTACATCCTCCTGAGGGCATCACCACACATGCACATCTTGCACATGCCGTCTGTCCATCTTTCATAGCATGAAGGTATAGATGGGTACCGGGAATGTTTCATCTTCCATCCGACACAAACCACTGCAAAGGGGACCAGTAAGGTCACTTAACCCTCACAGTCCCCTGTCCTTCACCTTTCCGAGGACTGTTAGCATTAAGCATGTCGCCACAGAGACAAGCTTCCGAAACTTCTAAGTATCAGTCAGTATGTTGCGGGTTGCATGCAGGTCGCGTACAGATTGCAACCGGTGTTAAACAAGAAAGTACCCTCATGTGTTCTTAAAGTCAAGTTTTATTTTCAGCCCCGAAGAGATAGAAATTTTTTAATCATCCGTCCCCTCCTTTTGAGATTGGCTCCACAGTAGTGCACTCTAGCCCACACTGCTGATTCACATTTGAAACAGGTTTTGGATGTTTACGTAAAGGACTAATTTTGAACCATTAGGAAAAACACTGCTTATGTGACTTGTCCAATATCATGTTATTCAGACCATTCTTCAAAATGACAGCATTGAAGATTTTGGCAAACTCACTCTGGGCTATTATAAAAATGACTCCTCCACAAAGCTGGCATCATAACCCACATGCACCTGTACACGTACATCCCATAAACTCAAGTATCTGCTGAAGTTACCTCTTATAACACTGTCAATGGTGCCAAATCTCTCACAGCAACTCCAGTGGGACCCAGATCTTGATAACGCATACTTAATAGGAAAAGGCCATTTCTGTGGCCCCATAAATTTTCAGTTAGGTGGCGTGACTGCAGTGGTCTCTTTTTCTGTTATGCATTTTCCCACCAGTTATAAGGGAAAACTGGTTTGGAAAGGAAAAGGCTGGAAAAAATTGACAAAGCCCTGCAACACTTGAGAAAATACAGGGGCAAAGATTCAAATATACTTTTCGCTCTTATGGGGAAACATTTCATAATGAAGACTAGCTTTTGGGTATACATGTACATGCATTTGAGTTTATTGTACGGCGATTTTTGTCCTGCTTTTTTACAGAAAGAGTGCAAAGGCTAATAGGGCACACATCAACATTCATCAGACACGACAAAATACCACAACTGCAAACACGGTGAAACTTCTTTTCGTAGTAAGTTCTTTTGTTAATATGGTGCATTGTAATATGAACCAAGATTACTCACTTTTCTGTGTATAAAAATGAACTTGTGACAATTGATAATTTTTGTATAGGGGCATGGATACAATAGGGAGAAAAAATTCTTAAAGACAATAAAATTCCTGCAGAAAATGGAGAGCAACCCTAGAGACCTCAGCCCCTGTCCCAGACTGGTGAGTTTTTTTGTGGTTATGGATGTTTATTGTTACAAGTCAATACAAAATCTCTAGCCACAGCTCCAAAGCAGCCAATTCAGAGGCGACCCTCCCACTGGGACTTGTGTTATATTACATGCTGCTTGAGGAAAGACTAGCACAGATGCCCATTCAGGAATGGTCAAACACCGAGACAGGTGGCACTACATGCTCATGCATCTTCCCCAGACACTAATTAGTCACTGTGGTGCCTTAAACTGGCCATGCCTTCAATCCTAATTCCATTTATATATGCTGTATATAATCCTACAGCATCTCATGGCTTCTAGATCATAAGATTACAAAACAGCAATAATGTATACTGAAGCTAGCCTGCCCATGCATTTTACCAACAGGATGGCACCATGCTTAAATACCGGGATTTTAGAACAGCAACTGATACAGGAACAAGCTGCAATGTAAGTTGCGCTTTGTGCCTCAAACAGGGACATCCCCTGAAAGACACAGGGAAAAAAAATATATCACCACTTCATCATGTTCAGGAATGTGGATTTCAGCAGTTAACTAATTATTTGTGTATCCTTTCATACAACCCCATTCAGTAATCACTCTTCTTAAATATTTCTGGGCCAGACTGACTTCAAAATGGGTGCACATCTTCCCCTCTGTAGTTCCACTGTAGACTAGCATCTACTACATTCTACATATGATGCCAAATTTGTTAATACTCTGCCTATGTTTCATGTTTGTATTAGCATTCAATAAATTTGTACAAAATGCCTAAATTCATTAGTAAAGAAATATAAACATGTTTGCTTTGAACTTTTCTATTAAATAAACTGGGCATGTTTCATTAGTTTTTTTCTCTGTACATGGGCCTCGAGTCAGAGAAGCACTACAATATTTCAAAGCAAATGAAATATAACAAAAAAAAAACAATGAAACATGGACTAACAGCTAATAAAAATACGGAAGTTGTTTCATCCTTCCAATAGTTGACAATAAAATGGTCCCTGTACCTTGGTAACAAGAACCAGACTAGCAATCGCTCTCTTTTGCCAACCTTTCAAATACAAACAAAATTCCCTCCCACCCGTACATGGTACTTTAGTGTGACAGAGTAACCATCAAAAATGAACAGAAAGTACATGTGTAAGTACCCATTACAACCTTACTGTCTGTAGAATACAGTTTGACCAGCAATACAACTTTAGGAAAGACTGCCATTTCGGTAATTGGAGGCATTCTCATCCTCGAGATAATCTTTAGTCAAATGTGAACGAAACTGACAAGACAATGGCATTATAATGGTCATGATGCCACTGACCAATCACAAACATCGTACGTGTGTAGCTCTTTGCCACCTGCCAAACCTACCAGGCACCGTGATTGGATCATTTTCCTGGCCTCCTGAGCATGGGAACAGTCAAGTGTGCAAAATGAACAAGACCAACCCAAAGAGGGGAGCATTGCACAACTACGCGTAGAATGTGGCAAGCAACCTGTCAAACTGCTCACATAGTTCCCGTTCAAAGTTCACTACAAAGGTGCCAACACTGTGCATTGATCCACACTGTAAAAGTGACAGGTGGCAAGTTGTGAGACTTGTAACATTGTGAAAGCTTAGATTGATTGCCATTGCCGTGTTGCAGGTGACTGTGTCCCAAACAGCCGACTAACCTGGGATGACATTTCATGGAGGTACTTTGCAATTCCCTTAGCAAAGACTGTGACCAAATTACTTGGCTGTGGCTTTCAAATTACACAGAAGTTGATGGTTGTGGCTGCAGCTACCTTTCATTGAGTCAAGTGTAATTTCAAGCTACAGCCAAGTAATTTGGACAGACCCAAGATAGCATTCTGATTAGCAAAGTTGGGTCACCAGCCAAATGTCGCACCATGTACATGTATGTACATTCCCTATGACTGATTCTAACCCAATTTTGGCCAAGGCGTCATTTCCTGTTCTATAACTCCACAAAATGCAGCCCAAGCCTCCTACTGACTCCTTTAAAGGAGGCCCATCCTCAACTTTCTAAGGATGTCTTGATTAACTACTAAACAAGAAAAATTACAAAAAAGATTTTTTTTTCACTTATCCACCTGACACCTATTCAAATACAAGTTTCTCGCCTCATCTATGGTAATTACTGCAATAGTTAGAATTTAATTTTATCAAAATAAAATCATTTTTCTTCTTTAGAAAAAAAGCTGGCTTTTTTCAATATACACGCACAGACTCAGAAATGCACAGGACAGCTTGAAAAAACACGAACACCCTTTCTGTTTTTCTGCAAAGCTAAATGCGTTGCAATTCTACACTGTCTTTTCGAATCACTCTCTGCTGTAGAGGTTGGAATTTAGCACAAAATTTGATGAATTTTGCTCCACAGGTACAAAGCTTAAAACTAGAAAATTTTTAATTCTGAACTGGGAAGGGAAAAATATGCAAAATGAAGATGCTTTGGAAATAATCCATGGACCCCAAACCTTTTGGCTATTTTTTTTAATGGATCTGTGAACCTTGCTCCTATTAACCACTTCCTGCCGGGGACTCCGGAATCGGAGACGTATGCTTTATATGCGTGGCAGGGGTCTCCGAACTCGGACAAAGGAAACAGGACCAGGCTGCTGGGCATTTGCAACATTTTTCACTCTCAAAATTGGTGATAATCCAGCCTTGTTTTGAAACCGTATACCAGGGTTTGGGGCATTTATAGCGAGCGGATTATCACCGCGGACAAAAGTGCTCCACCACCGCAGCGATAAGCCACACAGCACTGCTGCATGCTAATCTGGCCCCTATTGAAAAGAGGTCAGCAGTGCACTAAGCCACATTTGTGAACAAAAGAAAGTCACATAACACCACACAATCTGGGCTCTTTTTCCAAGGCTGCAGGCCTGGCTGAAATACTCGGGCCTCAATGAAGGTCACCTGTCAACTTAGAGTAGTGCCTAAAGATTACTTCGTGCGGCTATAAACGTCCGTTAAATGAAATGATGAATTTTTGAAGAATTTTGAAAACGGAAAAAATTATAATTATGCCGGCCCAGCATCACCAACATTGAAAAATGCCCCAGCATGAAGTGGTTAATCCAAAAAAGAAAAGAAAAGAAATGTGGGCATCCTTTTGTTGGAATTTCTGCTTTTGCTTTTTACAAAAGCAATAACATTGTTTATCTAGACTGGCATGAAACATGAGTTATCTTTCATATCCATTAATCTCACACAAACTGTGTATACATGTAATCTGTAAATGGCTGTGGCGACCTTAGATGCAGACCTTCCAAACACTCCTGAGACCTGTTGGCTTCTATTGCCAAATGACAGCCCAAAGACTCTCTTTTGGTAAAGCAGAAGATAGGTTGGGGTATCTACTGTTTTTTTTTCAACAAGTAACAAGGCATCAGATTCTGACCGGTCTCAAGAAAATGTGAGACCATAATGGAAAAGAAAAAAAATTGAAAATGGTGCCGCAAAGTCTTTGGATGAAAGGAAGGGGGGTGGGGCAAAGATATGGGGGGGTTACTTCTATTTAACACTGACACCGAGTTTCTCAAGGCACCTGAGTCCCTTCTCCTGGTATTCCTCTCTCGTGATCCAGAAACTGTCCTTGTCCTTCATAATGTCTGCCAGAACTGCGCCCCCTAGGAACACCATGTGCTTGCGACGCGGGGGGTCCTCAATGCGGATCTTGAATTTCTGTGGCAGAGGACAAGGATAGATGTCATTTTCAAATGACTTACCTGAAATATGAAATTGGAGATATGACTTACAATGCTAACCCAACATTAACCACTTGCCTCCGGGGTTCCCGGTACTGGGTACCTTTTTAAATTCTGAAGGACCAGGGAGGGCACAGAAGTTGAAATAATGCCCTGCCACTCAGAACTTCTTAGAGGACCAAATTTGGCAATCCCCACAACTGAAGTAAGATAACAATGTTCATCATTGTGGCACATTAACAAATTCACCAAGAGAATTGGGAACAGTCCAGTGCCCCGCTTCCCAAGAAACGTGAATCATTGTCATGTTAACCCATTCATCACATAATAAGGACCAGGCGATCTTGATTGTCTGTGAAGCATATCTTGTTATGGTGTTAGAGGTTGCACGACTGCATTTGTGGCTTTAAAATTGTACAAAAGTTTAAATTAAGATTTTTATGTAAGTTTTTGGGTAATTCCAAAAATTAGGGGTCCAAAAGTGTGACATTTTGGTGTCCCTGTTACATTTGACCTTTGTTTTTTGACATGGAAATATCACCGGCTTTGATTTCAAACTATTGCTACTTGTTTGGCAGGTAATTTGCATTAATTCACCACTCTTGGAAATTAGAAAATGTGTTCTGAACTTATAGAATCATATGTCAGATGTGACAGGGACACAAAAAAAGGACCCTAATTTCTGGAATTACCCTTTTAATCTAAGCAACCAATGGATTTCTTCAGGCAACTGCTTAGTTTTTGATAATAGTGAAGATTCACTATGCAACTCAGCTTGATAGCTGCCACTGAAGATGGAAATTATCAAATATTGCTAGTGATCACCAATCTTAGATGAGAGCATTCAGGATGAGGAAAGGCTGGAAGGTTCCGACTTACACTGAGCTTGGTTGTGTCTCCCTTCAAGATCCTCTCCAAGTACAGCTGCTTGATCTCCCGCTCCAGACGGGAAGGCAGGCCCGGGTACATCGTGGAGCCGCCCGATAGCACAATGTGCTTGTAGAACTCCGGCCGCGTGTCAATGTCCGCTGCCTGGATGGTGTTAAAGAGGAGCTCGGCGATGCCCACCCCTTCCACATTGATCAGGTGGGGCTGGAAGAGAGCCTCAGGGGCACCGAAGCGCTCTCCACCCACCTTGATGACGCGGCCGTCTGGTAACTACAGGGAAGAATACAACAGAGATTTGAGTTCAGAGCAATGGTGGATGGGGGGAGAGAAAGGGGTAAAACACATGGTCCTCTCCCCTAAAGGAGCAATTATCAATTTTTTTTCTAATTACCAAAAAAAAGAAAAGAATTAGGTATAAAGTGACTAGATTTATTTTCACCCCTGAGACAGGCTAAAAAAGGTTAGGTAAATAAATGTTCAGGTTCCCCCCTCCAATTTTTGGCCTCCAAAACTTTGTTTCTGGATCTGCCCTTGGTTCAGGGGTTCTATATTTTGGTATGGTACTAATTCTGTCGCTCTGCTGAAAGAAGAATCTAAGTAAAATCTGTGAAATCTGAAACCATCACTGATCCTGTATATACCTGGAGAAAGAAATTTCTTTTCAAAAAAATTAGTGATCAAAATTGTTAACTTTGATTGCTTGGAAAATACTCTCCATACATTTTCTACATATAACCGAAAAATGTACACAGATTTCAATGTTTGGAAAAAGCTTGAAAGTTTTACCGTGTAGTTTTCTACCAGTACTGTTGTTTCGTTAGCCAACTTCTGCTCCAGTTCAATATCATATCTGAAACCCAAACATGCCAAACAGGAGAAGTCTGATTTATATGTCAAGTCAACACAAGCTCTGCTGGGCAGTTCTGCTGGGTCTCTCTTTAAGGGGGAAGGGGCCACTCAGAACTTCTTAGAGGATTAAAAAAAAATCATTCCTCATGTAATGTAAGGTTGATTGTTGGTCATCCCTGTGGCCTCTTCATGTGGACTCCAAATTTATAGAATGACCCAAATGCTTGTTCCTTTTGTATGTTGGATGCAACAAGGCCTGTATTTTAGGTGCCTAACACACCAGTGAGTGTGCAACTGCTGTTTACCTCATGGGCAAAATCGCACATGAGCACTTTTGGCTTGGAAATCCCATTAAAACCCACGTCAGATTTTGCAAGATTTGTAACCCCCAACTGATCAAAAGTATTTTGATAACCCTTCTATGAAAACTTTCTACCTGTGCCAGCGGCAAGTAAAAATTTTTTAAAAGGGAGATTTTCATTTATATCGATTATAACTGAAATGTTTCAAGTTATCACTTCACAGATTACCCACAAAATTGGGAACTGCTTTCAATCTGCAAAAATGATTATCAATTACCACAACTGGATTCCAGAACAATACGATTTTCATTTGATGCAAAGAATTGAAGCCATTTGAGCTACATATAATAGGGTGTAACTGCTATGCTCCACGCCCTTAGTTTCCACGAGGAAAATGTCACTGATGACTCACCCTATGTAACAAAGGTTTTCCTTCATGATCCGCACCGTCTCAAAGTCTGCCGAGTGGTTGAAGGCATAGCCCCTGAGGAGCAGCAGCTGTGACAGAGACAGAGACCACATATGATCAGAATAAACTGGGAGCTAAAAACGGCTGTTGGCCTTTGACGCAGACGAGATGGCCCAGCCCTACAACAGATGTCAATTAACCGCAGCGAATACCAGCGCCTGTAATTGTCTGCTCACCTTAATGAGATACTTGGTGATGTCGCGCCCAGCGATGTCTAGACGCCTTGTTAGATGGGGCAACGAGAACCCTTCATAAACAGGACAAATGTGCGTCACTCCGTCACCAGAGTCTACCACAACTCCTGTTAATAATCCTGGTTGACGTACAAAACACAACAACATTCACAGTTGACATTTACGAAAGGAACTGAGGTTTTCATATTAAAACTCTAATGTGGGAGAGGCAGAAGCTAACTACAGACATAAAGAAACCACATTACACCATTTTACATGACGTACTCAAAAATTGCTGAACAGCACAAATTAGATGTTGGGCATGAAACTGCCTTGAAGCAAAGACTAGTCAGTCAAGAGAACTGCTGCTCACTTCTCTTCTTATATTAACATACAATAATAAAAACAGAGCACCAGATTTCGAAGTATTAAACAGGGGTGTGATTTTGGGAAAATGAAAAATCCACGGCCACAGCTTCCCTACAATTTGCGGCATATCTGATTATAGGAGGAGATTCAGGTACTTCATGTAAGCCACCACAAGAGCTGTTCTTACTTAGAAGGATACAATTATAACATTTTCTGCAACAAAACCCTTGTCCTCATTCACTTCAATTGCAATTATACATGTAAGCTATAATTGGTGACAATCAAAGACCTAGAAATGTAATTTACACACACACGCAGTTATCAGAGATCCATAAAATTCTATCACAATTTTTAAAACTGAAAACTGTCTCATACAGATGAATACTGCATTACTTGTGACACCGGGACATATAGTTTTTGTGTTGACTACAGTAGTACCCAGGTTTGTCGATTTTCACAAGAAAGTCACGATAATATATGGATTTCCCTTGGTTAATTCTCTGTCCACCTCAGTTTCCAGCCAGGAAAATGTCCAAGAATTCTTTTTTAATCCTTTCTCTACATTTAGGTCCCCTTGAATGACATTTTTGGTGGACGTTGACGACATCAGACCACCACGAGAATGAAACAAAATGCAATGGCAGACGGATGCAAGTTGAACATAGTGCATGCAACGTGTAACATGCATACACACACAGCGAATGTACATACACACAACGATCATACCGCTGGCCTGGGTCCCTATGTTTTAACAATGATACCCCCTCCGTTCAATGTACTATTACCCATGTATCTGGCGCATTTCCAGGGGGAGTAACAATGCAAAAGCGCATGCTATACACCTGAAGCTGTGCAAGTCTTTCGCCTTGTTTTGCACCAAATATTGTAGTCTTTGCATTACATATTGAAAGCACTGACAACACGGAAATCCAAAAAGTCTCACAGAAATTCCGGAGAGTCTCACAGAAATTCCAGAAAAATCCGGAAAAATCACACCCCTGATTAAATAATTACATTGAAAATAAACAAAACTTCCTTTTCGTATCAAACAAACTATCAAATACTTTTAGCATGGATATTTGGAGGGGGATGGGGTGCTCACCTTGGGCATAGAGAGTCAGCACAGCTTGAATTGCTACGTAAAGGCCTGCAAACTGGTAATGCTCAAACATGACCTGAAAGGAAATAACACAAATTGGAGTGATGCTGGATTTCTGCGTCAACAACTTTGTCTGACGCTGAAAAATGTACAGACGGAGAGACTCCCTATCTCACTTAGCACAAAAGTCGTGTTGGTTAGTGCCACACAAGAGAGTCCAGTTTTGAAAAGTCACACAGTACCTCCACCATCTTTTCCCGGTTTTTGTTGGGGTTCATGGGCGGTTCCGTCAAGAGAATCTTGGAATCTCTGGGATTTACGTTCATCCGCCCCTCGCTGAATGTGTAGTCCCAGATGTGTTTCATCTCGTCCCAGTTCCGCACGATGCCATTTTCCATGGGATATGTCACCTCTAGCATGGAACGCAATTGGCTGGCCTCCTCACCAACCATCAAATCCTATTGGATGGAGACACGAGAAAGAAATTCATGTCTTAAATACATTCATGCATATGCTGGAGGATTACGACCTTGGTTTCCTCCTAAAATAATTCAAACAAACAACTCATGGAAAATACTCACTTGGCTAGAAACAAAGTAGCTTACGTAATTGATGTATCAAAAATAATTTCAGAAGACAAACATGTAAATCAACGGTTTTAAACTGCTCAATCTGGGCGAACAAAATCTGTTGGCTTAAACATATGTTAACCCCACTTCCTTTGAGCTCTGGCTGGAACCCTTCCCTATAGGCCTTTTTCACCCATGTGATGTATGGAATGATCGGAAGTGGACTGCCTCAGATCGGTGTTGATAAATGCATGGTACTAATCATGATTAACATCCACAATGACAGAATATCTGGTCTTTCATAAACTTCTGAGCATGTAGGGGTAGTCTCCTCGATGCTGTGGTCTACAGCGCAGCCAAGCTTGGTGCAATTTATGTTATCTTGCCGCGCTTGCAGCGTTTCTTTTCATTTGTTTTTGTTACAAACTTCATGTTCAGTGAAGGACATCATGTCTGGAAGCCATTTTTCTCGGGCAGTCCAATATGCGATTAGACTCAATTAGCATGTCTGCTAATGCTAATGGCACAGGAAGACGATGCCTTCGTGTACTTCAACATTTTCTGCTATGCAGGAAACCACAGACATCGTTGTTGTGCTTCTAAGGGGGTACCAAGATATGTTAAATATACAGTTGCTGGGTTCCACCCTCCTAAATCCTACAATACCCTCCAAATCATTGGGAGGATTTTGACAGATATGGCACAGTGAGGCTTCAACAAACCAACAACACACAAACCAACAACTTGTTTGATTGTAAACGCTTGACGACAGCGGCGAGCAACTTCAATCGAAGACCACTAGTTAACTAGCACAGGTACAGTGAAGTTGAAGTGCAAATGACCTTAGTCAATTGTTGTCAGGTCATTAGGCTGAAGAGGAGAAAAGGTGGCTGCATGAAGAGCAAAATAGCAATAATAAAAGTGAAAATGGTCTATGACTAGTGACATACTGTTTTGCCAGCACTTTTCTAAAACATTGTAACTGGTCCTTTCTGCACTGTGCTGTAAAAATGGTTTATGGCAATCAAAGACGCAACCAACCTCAATAGGCTAGTAGCGAGCAGCTGACTAGGCTAGTCCAACCATCGTCGACTAGCGCGCATTCAATCAGAGTTAGTCGAACTATGGTTAACTATGGTCCTTGATCGAACCTGCCTAGTGTTACCATCACTGGACTTTCTCCATCAGCGCTGACCTTTCATGCTCCTTCAAAATCCAGCCAACTTTTTTTGGGGGGGGAGGGGGGAAGGTTGAAGGATGAGGGAGGTACATGTACATGTAGACCCTAGCTCAGTTACTTCATAGCATGTTTGATACTTTTTGAAAATCAATGTACAAAGAGTGAGCCATAGTGGTCCCTCAGGAAGTTAGGGTTAACCTTGAGTAGAAGCTGTGCTTTTCTGCCGTTCCTAATTGCATGCCACTTATCTTTGATCACAAGAAGTGGGTTTAAATAGTTCCGTAGTCTCAGTTGAATGTGACTTTTCTTGTAGGCACTAAATAGTTCTGTTCACATCACAAAGAAGATGTTAAAAATGACTACTACATGTATGTTATTTTGTAACATCAAGGAAACATCTGTTATCAAAACAACAAACATGAACACAATAATGGAGTACAGTTCCTTGGGAAACGTTTAAGCTTGACTGCAGTAACAGCAATACCAGGAAGTAAATGTTGAAAATAAATGTGCACCACTGACACTACACGGTCGTGCTTTGTCCGAGTCTGATTTTAACCACTGACTTGCCACACAGTTTAAAACACTTCAAAATTGTCATGTAAGGAAAAATGGCTGCAGGGGTTAACATAACAGGAGTACTGAGACCGATGCAAGTTGTGTACAAGCATATCTGGACTCGACCTTCATAGAATTCTTGATTTCATAACTTGTTTAAGCAGGTTGAATTACAGCTAAAAATTCAAGATGTGCACAAAGACGGATGGGGGGGATGCCCTCCTCTTCCAAATTTTGGGGGTTTTTTTGACAAGTAGAGAAAGGCGATTTTTTTTTTTTCAATTGTCTTCCTTTCAAAGAGTATAAGAAGTCCCGATTGCAGCCTCACCACTTGGAAGAGTGAGGTTACGGAAAAAGTTTAAAAATTTGATAGCCCCACAAAACACGTTTGGCCCCCTAAAAAACCTGGTTTTGGATCCGCCCTTAGATGTGCACAAATTGAGCTTTGAAAAATATTGAATTACATATCTGTTTAGACTTACACCTGCACTGTATGATTTTCTCTTAATTACTTTTATTTTTTTACTGAAAACAGGGTTTTGAAGAAAGAACTCTAGATTTGCTGCAATGGAATGCTAATAAAAGACTAGTCTAAACCTGAAGTCACTGCAAGGCAGAACAGGAGCCACAGATAACACAGAATGAATCTCAGTACATGCAAACAAGATCAAGTACAAGGTGTTCAGGCAAACGATGGACATGTGTGCACTAATGATAACACCTCTCGCATGATGGGAATTTTGTCAAGACTGGACAGAATGCACTTGAACTAGATAAAATATTGGGCTTTGGGTAAGGCTGCAGTGGGCAACACATGTCACTGATGAAACGGCGAAATTCCAAACAAAGGCAGAAACCGGTGTAGCTACTACTGACCTTTGAAGTGAAATTTGAGGGTAATAAGTGGGAAAAGGCTTCCTTTTGAATTACTAATAAGGTTGGTAACAATGTGACCAATTTCCACAAGATTTGGTTAAGTTCCAATACTGTCATTTTTTCTATAATTGATGAATTTACCAGTCCTTTTAAACACAAACTGAATAGAAGGCAACAGTTCTATGTGTAGAGGATTCTACACTCTTCACGTGGACACTGTGACCTTACCCAAACTCACTGAATGTTTGTCACAAGATGAAAAATGCTTTGTATCAAGTTTTACTAATTGAAAAAATCCAGGGCCCACTATTGAAATGAAAAAGTGGGGATGAAGTACAAAAACTCAAGGGGGAGGGAGGGGGAATGGAAGCATAGGGTGCGCTTACACGGTTACTCCTGTTAACATGAGTAGGATGCATACTCATTACACTTGAGGAAAGGGGGGTACACAAGGGGGAAACGCCAGCATGAGACATGAATGCAGCCAGATTTGCATCAAGTGCAATGAGGAAAAAGTTGGGCAGCAGCGTTCTTATCATCCATGAAACTACAGTACAAAGTTTGATGATTTACAGTGGTTGTGTCCCTGAGCAAGATAGTCTACCACAATCACACGTCTCCACTCAGCTTACAGTGTGCTTAATCTGCAGACTAGAAGTGTTTGCTGTGATTTCCAAACGGGTGTCCACAGTTGGTGTTCACCTTGTTCGCTCACAATATTCTTGTCAGTGCACGGCATACAAGATGGACTGATCAAAAATGTCTGCATACAGTCTAGCTGTAAACAATATAATGGCAGAGTGCCTATACTTAAGCTTAAGGATTGATCCCCAGGTTTGAAATCATGGATCAGTAATAACAGTGGAGCGTACTGCCTGCATTCATGAATCACTCTGCATGGAGGCATCCACAGGGAATAATTCTACATCACTCCATCACAACACAATGGAAACACACCACAGAAAACCAAAACTGGCAATAACTCCTACCTGAAGCTGCAGTTAGATGAGTACGACAGAATGGAAGAAGAATTTGAGAGAAGGGATTAGTTGGCAAGTTTGCATAAGCAGTTTGCACAAATTTACTGATCAGGAAATAAGGTGTGGACAGCATGGGTAAATTGTTTCTGGAAAATACTAGTAAAAGCCTCGTAAAGTTTCAAAGAGTTTATTAACTTCTAAAACACAAATTATTCTCAAATTCGAGTCCTCCCTTTCTGTAATGGCATGCTTAGCCAAGTGTTTGCTAAACTGCAGAAAATGTTCATTATGACTCCTGAGCATTTAGTTTACCGGCCTCTAGTTTTGAGGCATGTTCTGAAACTTGAATTTCGACTTCCAAGAGAAATATACACACGTCTAAAGAATAAAACAGTCAATATCAAATAAAAGAGAAAATAAAGTTTTAAAAAGTGAAACTGTAGTCTGGTTTAACGCAGAGACCTACATAAATGGTGCCGCCCATCTAAACAAAAGAAACAAAACCACTTCCGTCAAAGTGTTTCCACTTGACAAGTTTCGCATATCACTGCATTTTGTCACTTCTTTTCACATATACCACATTACTGTAGTTTTTAATAATGCAGGGAAAATATTTCTCTTTGAAAAATGGGAAAGTGATCATGCATTATATTCTTTCATTGGTGGGTAGGCGGCGCCCTCATGGAAATACAATACCTTGATTTCTATGTCTCCAACTTTGGCTGTGGATCGGATGATGGGTCTGCCGACAAGGGAAGGGAAGATGTGGGCAGGGAAGTTAGACCCTGCATACCCACATTTCACAAACTATCAGAAAAGGAAAGGAAAGAAAATATCACCATGGTAATGATGAAAATACCTTTATCCCTAAGCCTTCTTTTTTCCCTCCGAGAAGAACCTGAATCTACAGGTACAAAGGCTGAATATTATGTACCAGTAGGGTACGGAAAGGGAGCACCAAACTCAAGTTGTGGAGTAACTGTATGGTCCATGGGTGTCAACTGTCGTTGCTAGCTACATATACAAGGCTGAGTGTCAAGACAACCAAAGTCAATGAACCCCACACAAGCTCTACAGGTAGCTTGTAAACTGATTTCAGAAAGAGTGCCATTATGTACGGACAACATTAATTTACCTGTGAAATGTTTTAACAGCAGTCAGGAAGCAATAAAATGTCCTAAAAGTAAAATTTAACTAAGAATCTTCCCAAGCATTTACTTAAAAAACACTTTCTTGGGGGACAAGTTTCATAGGTTTGTGCACAGGGACATCAAGTGTTGATCGTGTATGGAACTCTTTTCTTGATTTCGATCACTGTCCATCATACCTCTTGCACATGCTGTTTACATGGTCCGGTTCAGTTTAATATCTTCAGTGTTGACAAATAAATACATGATGTAGATATACCAGGAAAGCAGTCAAGTTATCAGGTTTAGAATTGCCACGACTGTTGAAGAAAAGTGCATCTTGAACAGTCTGGTTTTGCTAATACTTGAATACTCTCGTTAAAAATTGTCCTTATGTTTAACCCTCCTATACACTACAGAGATGAAATCTCCACCAAGTTGTCCTAAGTATCAGTCAAAATCAGTCAAATGACATACATTATATCTATGTACTCTAGAGGGAGAAGTGGAGGGAATTTTTGGCTGGCTGTGACTGCTACTACAAAAGGAGGGTTAGACCTAATGATTATGAGAGAAATACATGTAGGCCTGTCTGCCTATACTATCCTACATGTTATTGCTATCCAAAACAAAATGAATCTGAGCAAAATTGACAAGGTGTGCTAAGCTAACATTATTAGTTCATGGATCTCTAATTTAACTTGAAGTTTTTATTAACAAACTAAAATCAATTTTGTTGTCAAAAGGATAATGTAAACAATGTATCATTTCAAAAACAGGAAATATATGCTAGAAACATTTCAAGAATATGCAGTTACTTCCTGTTAAATTTCCTTGGGATCTTATAACTGTTCATCCTTTTTATAACTCAAAAAGATTCATCTTCAGAATAGTATGGAAGACAAATACATGAACCATGTGGAAGAATACTTACTCCTGTACCATTGTCACAAACTATGACTTTTCTTCCCTGGCTGTCCATGGTGGATGACCGCTGATAGCAGATTTAAGGGAAAAATCCAACCAAGCTAGGCTCATACAGCCTCCGCCTATCCTCCCCTTCCGGCTTTCCAATAACAACCTCTTTCCCGTGTTAACTCCACAGTAGCATGACCATTACATTGTCAATGATATGCAAACGAGGTTGAAGCTCTGTGGTCAGGCACCTGGGCGTCATTCCTAATATTAGAAATACAATGGAGGCACTTCTTCACTCGTACCCAAATCTCAAATCTCGTACACGCCAACTAGCACTGCACAATCAGCGCGGCGTGTACACGTACTTTTGTAGTAGGCCTACATTGCATTCTGCGTATTTTTTCTTCAGTATGGAGCTGCAGAATTTGTCGAATTTACTACCATCTTTCATCATTCTGTATTGTTTGTTAGTTTGCATGATTTTTCCGCTTTCATCATCGTCAGAGAAAGACAAAGATGATGACAAAGATTTGAACTTAAATTTCCAAGAAAGACCGATGCGTGCTTTCACTGATGAAGAACTGTCATTTTATGATGGATCATTTGTAAGACCCCCTTCCCCGCCTTCCTCCATGATGTAACTTACCAGCAAAGATCGTATAGCGCCGCGTATACGATCTTTGCTTACCAGTCATATCAGTTGTCTCATGTTGACTACACAGCATGCTATAACAAAGTAGCTTAAATGTACAAACATGACTGAAGACCTGTAGAACCCAGGGGTCATCGGCGGACGATGAACCCCTGTCTTTACTGAGTATGTGAAGTATGATATAATTTATGTTCTCTCTCAACAGCACCAACTTTGTCCAGTGCCAACTTCAGAAACTTTGGTTCGCAAACAAAATTGAGTGTAAAAAAGTGCACTTAAATAGTTTATCAAGATTGTGAGACCTGAGTTGTTACCATTTTTCCCCCTTTTTTATTTATGGTGATTACCCTTACAGTGTATCACCGTGGTTATTCTCCCCGTCCTCTCCTTATTTCCGGTTACTATGGCCTAACTGTGATTTCTTCATTCATATTTTCATCTCAATTTTAAGACACCAAACTGCTTGCCCAAGTTCTTATTCTCATGAAGTGTTTCATTCTGACAAGGTTGGGCATGCCCCAAGCCCCTAGAACTCGTTCATGTTCTGCACTTTTGCTTTTGTGAGTAATGACATTTTTGGTTTGGATACTCAAAATGTGAATGCCTTTAAAAAATTTTTTAAACAAGTCAGACTCCTAGCTGCTCAGCTGCTACCATTGCAAGTTATGGTTGACTGAAATGTGCATTATTTGATTTATTTTATCCCAGGAAGGTCGGCCCATTTACATGGCTGTAAAAGGTGTTGTCTTTGATGTTACATCTGGAAAACGTAAGTGTATTCTTAACATTGCCAGAAAGTTCTCAAGGAAGTACCAAGTAGGGCTGCAGTTCTTTCTGTACCGATGGGTAGAAAAAGATAAGCCCTATTTTCTTTGAAGTATTTAAAATTTTTCTTTGGGTGCTGTTTGTGCTGGAATGATAATCCTATTCCTGGGAGCCACAACCAGAAAGTTTCTTTCAGGATTTTTGCCTGTCGGTTTTCTTCTCAGGTTATTATGGAAAAGGTGCCATATACAATGTGTTGGCTGGCAAGGACTGCACAAGAGCAGTGGCCAAGATGTCACTGGACCCTCAAGACTTAACTTCGGATGTTGTAAGACATTTTTACTTCTTTCAAGGTCATTTATATGCAAATGCAGTTTATGTTTGGGAGCACGGATCTGTCTGCGTTGATGTCACATTTTAAGGTGTGAATCTTATAAATAGACAAAAATTGGGCTTGTGGTTTGAATTGACGTGGGGTCCAGGTGGGGACAGAGTTTCATATGTGGACATTGTCTTGACACCTTGTGTGTTCGCCTTTTAAAACTAGTGTAAAAATGTTTTTTAATTGAAGGCCTCAATGTTTCCCCTGCTAACTTTGACATGTTTCCAGTTGTATCCAGACATTATCTTGCTGCTTCCAACTTCCAAGGTCGGCCATTTCTCACTTAGCATGTCAGTATGACAAGCAGAGGCGTCTTGTTTTCTTTCCGACAGACTGGCCTCTTGGAAGAGGAATTAGCCTCTCTGGATGAGGTCTTCAGGGAGGTGTACATGGCCAAATACCCAGTTGTTGGTCACATGTCATTTTCAGCCCTTGAGACCGACAGAGATTCCCATGGAAGAACTGAATTATAGCAATTCATTTCAGCTGTTCAGAGGAGAGGCCAGTTGTTCCTACAGCTTAAGTGTCCAGTGACTATTCCTTTCATCCTTTTTTCGTTTTGTACGTGGCTTTATTTAGGAGCATCACCTAAAAATAATACTTTCACTCAGAAATCACAGTGAAGTGAGCTTACAGCTTTTTATTTATCCTTAATTACTCATGTCAAATTACTTTTGTTTAACAGCCTTTGCTGTTACTGCATTTTTCATGTCCTTTATTACCTTAGGTGTACCTTCACCAGCTGAAATAACTGGGAATGTAAAACGCCCAAAATGTAATGAAAGAAATAGTTTAAGACTTACAGCTTTTTTAAAATCTAGAATAAGTCCCTTCCTCTTTACAATTCAAATCTCTTCATCCACCTCATGAATCAGGTGTAGACTTCCTGCTGTGGCGATAGGTTCGTGCAAAGAAAATATAACCTGATTGTTTCCACTGAGCTGTATGTATGTAGTATTATTAATCCAACTTTAGTCTCTTACTGTCTTTTGAGTTTGCCTACATTCTTGTCATGGCTGTTTAAGTACAAGCATTTGCGTCAGCTTTATTTGCATTGTTGTTTATGCCTGTAATATTTTTGCTGAACATGGCATGCAGACGTTCTGGGTAAAAAGCTGGGGTTCTGCAAGAATACTCTCAGAAGTTGTTGGCTTATAAGTTATAGCCAAAAGCATGGACCGGGAACTTGAGACAAGTTTGCCATTAGCGCAGGTGGTTGATGTTGGTTTTGGTACAAGTGAGCTGTCAGCTCTTGAGTGTACGACAGCTTTTAAGGAAGGTTCTGCCTGGATTCCCAATGCTGCCATCAAATATTTTGTGGTTGTTTCTTGGGGGGTTGGGCAGTGGGTTTTTTTTTCTTTTTGGGTTGCTAAATCTTGTCAAAATCATGAGCCTGCATATTGTCAGTTTATGCTGCATCCTGCTTTGTACACATTTACCATTCATTGAGTATTCAGTGGCTTTTTGTGGTTTATTTCAAGAAGTGGTTAAAGAAGAATTTTATTTCAGTTGAAGGCATTATTATTTGAGTGAGTTCATCGCAGTATCATTGTACACACTCCAAAGTGCATTCTGTTCATATTTATTCATTATCTTCACAATTTTTAAAGATTTGTATAACTGATATGGACAGTGCCTTAATAATGGAATGTAAATAAATTTGCTTTGATAAATAAATGGGACAATTCTGTGACATTAAATTTTTGCCTCTGTGTAAAAAAAAAGATAACTCCATGCTTTTGCATTGTAATTCGTGCTTTTTTTATAGTTTATTCGCTTCTATAAAAACCGTCTGTTTGAATATGTAAAATGTAGCTTCATAATGTATTCAGTTGAAATTGTGCAGTTCAATTCACAGCGTGTTTAACCCTCTTTTGCTTGTAACAGTCACAGACAATCAGACATTCCTTCCACTTGATTTGCCACAGTACACACACATAGGGGTCATTTGACTGTTTTTGACCGATAAGACAACTTTTTCAAGAATGTATCATTGAATAATAGGGTTAATGAATTTGAATTTTTCTAAGCGGTGGTTTGCAGACGGATGAGTTCTTGAAAACTGAATATTAATGACAGCTCCTTGAGATTGCCAACCGGAAATAGGAAAAGATTATGTGAAAATAAAGATTTTGTCTCAAATTTCAACAGTGTGCACAGCGACCTAGACATACTTAAGTGGGGACAACATTCCGTATTTTGCGATTTTATCAATCACGGCCCATCACTTTCAAAATTCGCTTGGAGGGAACAAACTTTCCGGTGTGCACCTGTCGGCCCGCCCTCTAGGGTTGCGTGCACGAATACATGATTAATTTCGTCACAAGAGGGCGGGGGTATGCAAGCCATTCCGTGAGAATGTCGCTCACCATGCCGAGCTGAATGGGAGCAAATGGCAAGCAAAAAGAAGGAAGGAGGTTCTCCCGAATCTCTGGCAGTAAATGTTTTGCATGATCTGACGGAGAAACTTACTGGACTTCTCACATCCGCCAAACAACAAGCACAAGGTATAACACGCAGGCCTTCGTCCAGCAGCAGATCTATTCCTCCATGATCTATACTAGCGTGATCATCCTGATCATGATGTAGGCCTGACCATGGGCTGGCCAACTATTGTTGACCAAAGTCTGTGGGAAATGTCTCAACATTATCCAAGTCAATGTCTCTCACTTGACACGATTCATCTAAAATGTGGCACTTCATCTGTTCATCTAGCCCTATGACCAGTGACATGACATTTGTAAACAATATGTATGACTTTGGCACATGCTGGGCACATCATGCATACATACAGGACCTCTCTGCTGTAGTTGGGCCGGCCCAACTGTAGCACTCTACTCTAGTTGGGACAGGCTATAGTTGGGGTGTAACAGCCCCATTATTGTGGCCTACAGAACGCTACGCGTCCCCTACACCCACATGCCATGTACCAAATTTTTATTGACTTTTTCAAGCGCTTCGAAATGAAAGCATTTTCACGATTGGAGTTGCCTGATGTATGCCATACCCTCTCCGCTTCTAAATCAATTCTTCACTACGTAATCTTACCTCCTACTTTTCGAGAAATTTCCAGCTAATTTTTGAACTTCATATGTTCTTGCACATTAACGTTGACAGCTCGAATCATTATGGAGTCAAGTTTGTGACCCCTAAACCGTGACCTGACATTATGCAAATACTGCAACAGGAGTTCAGATGCGACGGCTCGTTCCTGTTTACCCAGGCCTAAACTGCTCACTGCCATGACTGCGAGCCCATGCGTGTGTAATTCTCCATACTATTAAATGCCACTGCTGCTATACCTCGTAATTTGGGGCAAGCTTTTCCTTAGTTACATATGAGACGCCTTGCAACAATACACCGTTCTCAATGGAAAAGAAGGGCACAAAGGAACCAGTCCATTCCAGAGATGGTGATCGCTAAGTAAAACCTTGCCCCGAATCACGAGGTGTAGCAACAGTGTCTTCAGTCTGGGGAATTCAAATTGTTATATTAATGTGCAATCTGATAACTCAGTGTACCAGAATTTATTCAAATTTAACTCGAAAATGGCTTACTCCCAAGAAGTGACACATGCACGTCACTGCAGTGGTTTATGGAGCTTTGTAAAATCAGGGACCAGCAGTTGATATAGAATCTGTGCCTTCGGTTACTCTTGTTTTATTGTAATTTTGATTGTTTTTATTATTGTTTGAGTAATATAGACCCATACAGCACTGTTTCCTTGACATTTCTTTATAACCTCATATGTTCTGCTTGAGTCAACAGATTCACTCCAGGCATTTGCATCAACGCATGTGTGTGCACTGGGTGCAAGTATAGGGTTTTACTGTGATGCTTTTTTGAGGTATGGTAATCTAGGCCAGTAAACTTTGCATGTTTAATGGACCATGTTAAATTGGAGGAAAGTCAAAAGACTTCAAATGAGTTATGGTCTTTGTACGAGACATTCGTTGCAACCAAAAGCCTAGTTGTTAGTTGGACATCCTAACTATGATGATAAATAATGATAAGGTAAATTGGATAGAATTACTTTTACTGCACTGTTAAGTACTGAAGTTATGTAAAGGCACCTCAGGCTGCTGCAAACGACCCCTATGTGCCTACATAGAACAGGCAGACTAACTCCAACTTACAGTAAGCAAATGGAGCAGTTTGGTTATTGAGTATCAAAATTAAAGGGAAACTGTTTAGGTGTATTGTACAAATGTGCTTTGACAGGCTTCACAGGGCCTGCCAAACTGAGCAGTGGAACCGGAAACTGGCTGAGTGGTCATGTTCATTTGGGTATCCAGATTACAGTCGGCCCCAGAGCAAAGTATTCTCTGAAATCCCAGGTTTTTCGTTGAGTAGTTTTCTGTCAATGAAGCTGGCCAGCTTCAATTCTCCCCAAGCTCTAAATTTCATAAGTAAGTTCTACACATGGAAATGGAAGTAGAGACAGAGCAAAGTATTAGCATGTAGTTTAGGACCCACTTTATAAGGACATTCTCCCCCTTTTTTTTGGTTCAGGTCTTTAGCATTTCTGGGCATACAGCAAGCAATTTTACACATTCATAGACAGCTTTTTTCATCAAGACATTCTTATGTAATATGAAGGATTCCAGAATGTAAATGTAGTACAGTGGAACGCTGCTATACCGAACGCCGCTATACCAAACATTCGGCTGTACTGAACATCGTCCTTGGCTCCCAATATTTTGTGCACAAAACCTACTGAACATTATGCAGTTGCAAATCAACCGAGATTTGCCACAGAGATCAATCCTGAGCGGCAGCTTCACGACTTTTAGGATAAATTGAAAATCAATTTTGTAACTCAATATTTCGTGAAAAAACAAAAATAATTAACAGATACATTTCTAAAAACCTTAAACGTCAATGCAACGGCAAAACATCACAAAAACAGTGAATCATAGTATCACAAGAGGGTGCACTTCAGTTAGACAAGAGAGGGCGCTATTCAACATGGCAACGAAACGTTCGGCAGTTAATTTAGCTATACCAAATGACCGCTGTACCGAACATTTAGCGTGGACCCCGTCGTGTTCGTTATAGCGGTGTTCCACTGTACTTACAATTTTAAACGTGGCGGCCAGACTTTAAGAGTGCGTTCAAGCGAGCTACTCGTGCTAACACGAATATACTCCTGAGCGTTCGAATGGCTGGAGTATGACCCGTGGGTCAGTGAGAGTAAACTCTTGCTAGAGGGGGAGTGTACTCCTGCACCCGAGTGTAATGAGTACACATCCTACTCGTGTTAATAGGAATAACCGCGCGAATGCACCCTGAAGCATGGCGGCTGCTTTTTAAACTTGGTGAGAGACGAGCAAAACTTGATGGACTGCCAGGCTACTTTTAACGGTTGGACACTGAGTTCTTTAGGCAGTGTTTGTCAGTATCTCTTGTTGCGTTAAAGAATGAAGTGTGCTGGTGCTAGTCAGGATTCAAGCTACCACTTCACCCATTTGACTTGCCTTAAATCTATCAGTCATATCAGATTGTCTCAAGTCAAGATTTTCTTGCAACCTGTTCAAGGTTGGGGGTCGTCACAAGGAAGGCCTTCGATGATGTGTTGGGACATCTCTACAGATATGAAGATGTTCAGAATGCAATGGAAGAACTTGATGACTTAGAGGTATCAGTAAAATGTGAAAGAACTAGCGTCTGGCTAGTATTTGCTTGCATTTTATTTTCTTTCAACATATTTCAAGATGTTATGCATAAACTCAATGGTACACATGTAACTGAATATATACAGCAAACAAAAGGCCAAAGATTACTTTTTCTTCATGCTTTTTGTATTTTAATTTTGTGTGTGCTTTTACAAATTTTTTTTGCTATTGAATATTCATTTGTTCAAATTGATTCAACTTCAATGGCATTGGCACTTTATCAAGAAATGACACTTATCTGAAGTGGATTTTCTAGGTCCTTGCTGAAGTCCTGTACTTCTGATAGAAATCAGAGCAGTAGACATTGTGGATTGTAATCTTGGACAGGTTTTGCTTTACCACAGAGGACAGAACATAAAAAGGAACACAAGAGTTTCTCTGTCCTCGGTGGTCCGTCTGTTGTCCTCAATGGTCAGTCTATTGTCCTCGGTGGTCAGTCTATTGTCCTCGGTGGTACAAGTGCCTGTGCTTGGTGTATGGGAGAGTATTATATCGTGGGAACAGAGGCAAACATAATGCCCTCTCCTTGGTGGTACAGCAAATCCAAGACTGTGTGATCTGAAATGTACTGCTCGGGGACCCCCTCTGGTTTTGGCAATGTTGCTTAAGTCCAGTCAGGGTAACAAGATGACGGAATCAAAAGATGCGAGGCAGTTAGATCCAACCTGCATGACTCGCAGGTTACACCTTCATTCATCAGTCTTCTCCGTGTTTTACTGTGCAGAGTGATTGGAATGCTTTCCTCAAGAACACTGAATCCAAGCTGACCAAGGACAAAGCCCAGTCTACTTTGTCCGTTGGCTCTCCAGGACCATGTGACATTGAGCTTAAAGATGCAAGAACAGGCAGGTTGGTTTCCCAGACTCAAACTTTGCAGTGTAGACTTTGCATCATCAAAACTCAAGGTATTTACCTCGTTAGATAGACTGAAAGTCTGAACCTGCAAAACTAGACGAATCTTATCAGTGATGCACTTTTGGTTGTTTCGATGTGAACTCGGCTAAGTGCAGATAGACTTTGAATTGAGCAATTCAAGGCTTTTATCTCGTCAGATATTGAATGTTCACATTTGCAAAACTGGACAAGGGTTATTTGTGATGAACAGGTTTTGTTTGTTAATTTCTCGCTGTGATTGTATTATACAGTTTTCTGACTTGGCTGGCTAGATGCCTTTTCCCCTTGATTTACACAGACCGAGTACAATCAGGAATTACTTAGCTGAAGGGCACGTCATTGTGGTCTTGCTGCGCCACTTTGCCTGACTACCGTGACGCGACCACGTGGCCCAGCTCCAGCAGCATGCCACCGAGGTTGCTCGCTGGGGAGGCCACATCCTGGTGGTCTCATTTGGCTCACAGGAGGGCGCTTTACAGTGGCTAGGGATAACGGGCTGCCAATTTGACATGGTTGTGGACGAGGATCGCAAGGTGAAGGAACTTGCCTCTAAGCCCTTCAGCTTGACCCTTGTAGAAGCAATGAAGTTTCACTGGGTTGCTTGGGAGGACTCTGTAGAACTGAGGAAGATAGAACCCACTCGTAATTATTTTACATGGAGAGTGATGCCTCTTGAATGTTTAATAAAATATATTTCATTGGTTACCTGCATAGTGATGGATTTAAGACAAAGTTCCCAAATACTCCTTGAGAAGTAGAACTTATCCACCTTGAGCTGAAGTGCCCCCTCATGGGTTGAAAGAAGCCATGTTGGTGGGGAGTGTTCATTTTGTTGGTAGCAATGCGACTGCAATACGTGCATTTCATAGTCGTTCGTAAACCAGCAAAGTGCAGTTCCCACCAAAGGAGCCTTCGTTGCTTAGAAAATTGCACCCTCTCGGTCCAGCTCAGGGCTCGTAGGGCATCTGTGAAAGTTCTTAATCCATTTGAGAATGCAAATCCAGATGAGAATGCAATGTGATGCAGTCGTTCCCTAGTTAAACATGATGTTCATGAGTATATTCTGTGTATCTGCATGTTTCATTGCTCAAATGTCGGATTCCTCAGAGAGTACTAAACTTTTCTTTCTGACAGTGGAGGTAAACACAGGCACTGTCTCTCACGCTAGAACATGTAAGCCTGTGCCACTGTTTGGTTTGATTTTAGGTTCGGTGTTGGATTTGTTGTAAAGGTATGTTATCATGTCTACTGCAGATCTACTCTGCCATGGGTCTTGGCCGCTCCATATCCAAAGTGTGGAACACAGGGACCATAACGTACTACGCAGAAATGAAAGCATCTGGTAGGATACTTCCCTCCAAGTTGGAGAATGTGGAGGACGACCCACACCAGGTATTCTTTAAAAAACGAAAAGAAAATTAGGATGAATAGATTCAGTAGGTAAGGAGTGGGAACTAGTGGGAGTTTCAACACCCACAAGTCAGACTCTAGCCTTGGTCACACCATATTGCCCCATCACTCTGAGAAATCTCATTTGGGCAAATGTTTCCTGAGTATTCACTTTAGGAGTATACCTTATTGCTCCATAAATCAGTTGTAGAATTAGACAAAAAAATTAAATAAGGATTTCTTCAGATAACAGACGTGTCCATGTTCTCCATGGAGACCCCGGGGTCCCAGTGTTAGATCATGGCTTGACTCAGTGAAGCATTGGATGTTTTGAAAGTGGAGAGTGGCTTCCTTTAAAAACCAAGTGACTTCATATGATTGGTGTCAGTTTTTGATCTTTGCCCAAGTGTTGCAAATTCTGCTTTTTGTCACTGCAAAGTTTTTTTGTGTAGCAAAATGTTTAAGTTGGAAGGTCATTGACTTGTGTGATCAGCATTTACAGGGCAGTTAGTACTGATCCATTCAGTCATTCAAATAATAGTGAAATTTACAATGGAATTTGAATTTCCAATGTTGATATATTTTCCCTGCTGTAGATGGGTGGAGATCTTGTCATAGATTGCCATGGCAACACTATTTTCATACACTGCAGTAAAATGCCTCCAGATAGGCCGTCCGTTGATGATTTAATCCAAGTGTTAAAGGTAGGAAAAATACTGGATATATGCGTGATATTTTTGTAAGAAACAAATCTCAAGTAACTTATTTTTTAATTACATCTGTTTATCTGAATGGGGTCTGTTTTATATGTTTTAAATGGTGAAGAAGTATGAACCAGGATTTGTTCCATTTATTGATACGTGGTTAAGTGTTCTGTTGTAGGATTTGCTCATATTCTAGTTTAGGGAGGTTTCCCTCAAACATCCCCTTGCCGCTTTTTCATTTTCCAAGGGAGAAAACGCTCACATTATATTCCACAAGCAGACCACGGGAAGATGTTTTGCGAAGAAATGATCTGTAGATGATCTAACCTCAGACTGTTCTGTTTCCAACAAGAACCTCCAGACTGACGACAAGAAGGTAGTCAGATAAGATTCTGAGGATGACGGGTCTCCGAGGAAGATGTTTAAAGAGTTAGCCTGTGACTGAAAATGCAACACGTATGAGCCCCGGGCTGGACCATGGGAGAGTGCCATTTTCCAAGCAACTGAGATTTCTTTAGAAGGAACTGCACTTCGCTGTTCACAAGCTACTATGAAATGCATGCATTATGGTTGCGTTGCTACCAGCAAAATGAACGCTCCTGACCAACATGGCTCTTTTCAACTGATGAGGGGGTGCTTCTGCTCAAGGTAGATAGGTGAAAGTGGATTTGGTCGTTCAAAAATCAGTGCAAACTAGTTCTTTTATTGTTTCTGATATCAAGACTGTTATCCCTTTTATTATTGTGTTATTGTTGTTTACTTGTTGCCTTGGAAACTGTACGAATGATGGCCATGAGCCTAAACCATTTACTGGCGGCTTATGCCTGATGTTACAAACAGCTTCCAAGGTTTATGAGTTTTATGGAAGTTTAAAAGATGACTTATAAAAAAAGAAAATTATGTCAGGGATTAAAAACATCAGATAGCAGGGGTTTAACCATGTTCTACACATTGCAGTTGGAGGTGAGAGTTTGTGGGTTCAAATCTTTGGAAGTTAGTCATATATTCCGTGATACTATATTCACTAACATTGAAAGAGCACCACTTTTCACACTATGGTATATTGATTTTACCCAATGGCAATGTAATAATCTGACCTAACCAATGTCAAGAGACAGTGTAATCACTGATGCTTGAGGTGCATGGAACGGTCAATGTCTGGTTAATCCTCTCCCCACAACTCATTTTGGGGAAACAGACTAGTTGATATCTTTTCATACTTCCAATTATCAGTAGGATTTATAAATGCATTTTCTGACAATGTTTGTACAGTTTATGTACCACTGACAAGCTGTGCTTATATATATTTGAATTGATTTGAGAAAGGAAAAGCTTTAGCACTTGTTTGTATTTATACAAGAGTGTAATTAAACTGAAGGCGGTGGCCCATGCATTTTCAAGTTAAGTTGCTGAGGCTATTTTGTACTTATATAATGCAATATAAATTATAAAATAAATTCAGCAATGTGCGTTACTCATGTAACTGGGGCCTCCAACTAAAACAAAAATTAGCCTCTGTGGTAAGCGGCATATGTGGATAATATGTAGTGGGTGTTGCAAGGTATGGGGGTAACAGTTTTAGTGATGTTTGTGGGGCTGTGCGCTGATACGAGAATGTAGGAAGAGGTGATTTGGTTAAGGGAAATATACTTGACATTTGTCTTTCAGAGGAATTTTTCTCAGGATAAACTAATCAAGATCTTACTCATGCAATGCACATTTGTGTTCTTGAGAGATTTGTTTTAAGGGTTGGTGCAGTCAATTTGTTCTGACCTTCAAAATGCACCTTTATGCCTCAGTTAACCTTATTTTCAAATTTTGTTTCACTGTTTCAAAGGTTGTTTTACTGCCTTTGTGGTTTTTTATCCAAATGAGTATTTCCATATTCAAGAGCAAAACTATGATGTCATCCCAGGAATAAAGCTTCAATGTTGTACACAAAAAGTCCTGCAATTTGTAGATTTTGCTGGACTGTATTTTATTTTTGCTAACTCGTTTATGTGCATAGCAATAAGCAAGTATCAATCCCGTTCTTGGACATGTTTAAGCGAGTAATTCTGGGTTCACAATTTTAACAAACACCTATGCACTGAACATTGGGATGGCTTCGGCTAAGTCTTTGGCTTCACTGGTTTCAGTTGGCATGGTCGGAGTCTCCTCAAAAGGCTGGAGCCAGTGAAGGCTAAGCCTGAGCCACTTGTACCGTAAATGCCCTGTGTCTTCCCTGGATGACATCACAGTACAAGCGCCCTCAGTTGTTTAGGAAATTATGGATAATTTTAAGTGTTTAAAAAAGTGCACTTTTCAGTGCATTTAATCATATGGGAATGAAAAATTGAATATTTTTACATTGAAGAATAGAAAGTTACAGAAGAATTGTGTCAAGAAGTTATGTACACTGAAAATGGTTTATTTGATATGAAACTGTACAAGGAAAGATGATACCAAAAGACAAGGAAATAGCAAGCATGTTTGAATTCTTCCCTTTTAATGCCTTTGCATTTACAGCCATCAGCAAGTTCTAGGAGGATTTCAAATGATTCAGTAATGCAATTGCTTGTGACCTGTACCTTCAGTGGGACTACATGCCCTGAAAAATTCAAGTAGACCATTAGCTGTATAGAATGCTGGTATATGTCAAATATTTGGCTATCCGCCCTGAGTTGAAGTGCATCCTCACCGGCGAAAGAAAGACAGGCTTGTATGAAGCTTTTCAACAGGGTTCTTGCACGCTTTCAGCGTGCACGCGAAGACCATACATGCCAGAAAAAATTTGTTGTGCATACTCAGCGTGCCCTGCGTCAAACTTCCATGCCTGTGCTGCGAGTTTGTACCAAAGGACTGTCAAGATTTTTTAAAGGAACCAGGAAATGTAAATATGTTCAAGTAAAATGTTTATAAATTTTACTAAAACCCCTTGAAATTGCATCTTTGGGTTTCAATTAACCTGATTTTAAAATTTTTGTTGGCAATTTTAACCGATATTTTGGTCTTTTTGGTTTTTATGCTAATGCATTTGCATATTCATGAGCAGAACTATGATGTCACCCAAGGCGCTGAATCTCAATGTTGCACTGATTTGTGCACAGAAAATTTTGAGATTTTTTTAACCACAGCTATGGCAGATTTCATGTTCTTTGGCAATTTATTGCTGTGTAAGTATATGGAATTAATCCAGGAAAAATCCTTTTCACAGAAATGTTCCCAGATAGCAAATTCACAATTTGAACATGAAAACATGCAACCTGAACCATGTCTTCCTGGAATTACATCAAAGCAAAAGTGGTCAATTTTTAATGTTTGAAAAGGGCATCGTTCAGTTCACGTAACTCAACAAAGATGTCGAACAGTCTTCATACATGGAAGGAGAGTACAGAGATTTACAAAAAGTGATTCTCAGAAAAATTCATTTCCTGGATCCTTTAAAACACCCTCTTTTCTTCCCACTCAGAGCGGATACCAAACACTCTCTTTTGCTTCAAAATTTTATATACACTCATGCTGAACGTTGCTGAATTCGATTAAATTCACAAAAGATGTCAATTTGGGCATGACAGCTATAGACACATGCAGCACTTCAATTTTGGAGCAATTGTTTGACAGTTGTGAACTGTGCCCCCTATCCACTCTCCAATGCCTCAATGCATTACACAGCTTGTAAAATGAACATTGAGAACTGGCCTGGCCTCTTAATATCTTTGGTGATTTTCTGGACGGCAGTAACTACCTGCATGTCTACAGTAACACAGTCACCACCAGTACAAGGACGGGTCAGGAACCAATTTTGGAGGGGGGGGTGTGGAGAGGGGCAAACTTGTTGGGGGCCAAACACAAACAATTTGGACATTTCGACATGTAACCTTTTACAGCCAAATAGCTACATTTTGGGGCCTTTCACATGCATGTGGACGCCCCCCCCCCGATCTACCATTGCACCAGCAAACCATAATTTCAACCAGTTGACGTACTATGTCAAAACCTGGGGAATAGCAACACAAATGATTGGAAATTTAGTGTATTCAATTTCATGACTAAGTAATCTCCCTTCCACAGAAATATAATTTGGCAAATCACTTCTGAGTGTAAACTACTTTATAAAGCACAGTGCCTCCAAACTTTGACAGTGCCATCAATAGGTATCATTACAGAATTGGCAAAAAGTAGCACTACAATACAGTTGTTGACCTCGTTAATAAGAGACCCTTGAGACTTTACAAATTACCTTCTTGTAACAGGAACCATGCAGTACCAGGAGTGGGAAGCAATGAAAAACAAAGACTTGGAAACCTGATACTTTCCTTGTTATAACAGGAACCTTGTGCTCTTTGTATTGACGTTCAACTGTATATCTGTATTTCCACAAATATAAATGCAGTTTCCAACTCGTACAATGTAAAGAAAGGAGAGTAGTTGTTCATGTCCATATAAATTGTGGCAGAGGATTTATCGGTTGGACTGCTGGACGTCCTCATCACTGTTAATTTTTCCATTCTGTACATTTTATACATTCATTTTTATATGAGTACCATTTGTCAATGGAAGCCTCCAGCTAGTGGCTACATCAGTTTCCAACAGATCCGTGTTTGGATTGCAGTTGTAGCTGTGTAATTCCAGCAGAGATTGACAGAGACCCAGGGACATGCCACCAGGACAAGTTTAGTATAAATATACACAAGGCTTATTTGTACCTGGAGCCTGGCTTCCAAGTTATAGCTGTTACACTAAAATGCGGCTTGGAAGTCTTAATTGCGCAGAATTTTATCATTAGCTGAAAGTGGCTGAAATAAAAGCACCAAAGCTCTCCAGTGGTTTGGCTGGTATCCAACATTAAAAAGGAACCCTTGATGTTCTTCAAATTGTTCTAAAATACTTTTGAAGGCAGTTGGGAGGTTGTCAAGAGACTAAACATCCACTGCCCTTCAAAGAATCATCACTCCTGACTCCGTCTCTGTGGAACCCAATAGCTCATAGGGTGGAATTTTCTTCATCTTGTTTCAAAGTCATCATCGGTATGGACACCAGCGTGCCCAGTGACCCCTCCTTCCTGTATCATAAAAGAAAAAGCCAAAAGTTTCAGTTTCTGCAACCAACTTTGTAATTCTGATAACAAAACTTATGACTACATATGACACTGGAATTGTACAATGACTGCCAGTGATATGTTTCTTTCTGTACTTTTGCCTTACGAAAAAAATGAGTTCTTTTGAATTATTTATGGTCTCCACGGCCCTCTAGGGGGTAATCTGGTTTCTTACAAAAATAATTAATCCATGGAGGATTGACGTGTAAACCATCATCATTTGAACAGTGCTTTTCTTGCATTCTCCCTAGATTCTATAATAGGGGTTTTAAAAGTATTTCTTGATAAACTAGTTCAAGTGGAGGTGTTCACTAACGGCCTAATGCAAAACGCACTTTGCCAATTACAAAAATGCCTGACACATTTTATGCTGGGATAAGCCAGTGAGACTGACGGCCAATTTCTGGCCATCTTCTCTCACAAATCTTGTCTCAAATGCAAAATACATGGTTCAAACAACCATGCCATGTTCAGTGAAAAGGGGTCAAATATAACAACAAACCACCAGGGTAAATTAACACAAAACACGTTGTACCGAGTTTAGAATTGAGGCTACACATCTGCATTGTCTTCTCCTTGAAGAGTGAAATAAGCAAAGAAAGTAGGAAATTTCACTCTTAAAGAACACTGTTTGGGGCTTTAAGTATTCTGGGATACATTTAACAACACACTTTGATATTTGTATTAAAACAAACACTTATTAACCCCTTCACGGCAGGATTATTTTGACTGCTGGGCTGTGGTATGCCCTGAATGGAGGCCGTTGTCAATCAGCAGGCCCACTGAACCAGCAGCTGCATGGTGAATAGACTGTATGTGTGGTATGCACTAATCCTCACACAATGGTGCCGTAGTAGCCAAACAAGACTTCCTTCTTTCATTAGGTGAAATGTTTTCAACCTCTCTCCATCTGATTCTTCCAAAAATGGTAAATTTCCATTTTAAGCCCCATTTTCAGCTTTGTGAAAAATGCAGCAACATTTCCTAGTACAACATGTACCTTGCCTTTTTCAAAAGCCATGTTTTTTGGCCCAAAATAGTACTGTCAGCAAGGAGTTAACTATCAAATCTTTTCCAGCCACGGAATACTTCCTCTTTACAAACTCAGCTGAAAAGCGAACTACCGTTCTTAAAACTGGTTTACCACAAGCAAAGCAACGCTCCCTCTCGCGGATGCCATAAGCGTAATCGTCACCATCATCGTCCTCCTCCTCTTCGTCGCTGTCCCCTACCTCCTCGCTGTGGTCGATTTCACTGTGGTTAACCTCTTCACTGTCAAACTCCGAGGAGATCTCAATGGGCACTGGGGACAAGGGTCTGGGATTGGCGCTGGCGGCTGGTGAGAAAGACAGGACTGTAGTGGGCTTTTGCCCCTTTTAAAATAATCAAATGCTGCTTTGTCAAAGAGTTTTCATACTAAACTTCTTGGGGGCAATCGACGCCGCATTTACACCACAACATTATTCACACATTACAACTGTTTTTGGATGAATAAAATCAGTTTTCCAAGAACGCAGCATTTATAATACAGCACTACAATGTTTATTAAATCAGATATTCCAAAACCAAACTACACAATGCTAAAGTTTGGGGGAAAAAAAGGGGGAAAAAAAACTCTCAGGGGAAATTTCACTTTGGAAGCTTTCTCCTGTTCTGAAAATATTGCTCATTTACGCCTGATTCAGATTCGCTAGACCAGGTCTGGTTGGTTTGGCAATATCAAGCACATAAAAATGACACTACGAAAGTGTGACTATATTATGAATGACGACAACATCACTGACAGTTGCATTTCTCATAGATGGCCATGGCACCCTGACGAATGTTCAAACGTCCATGCTCACCTGGCGTTCTTTACCAACACCTTCATATTATTTGGAAATTTGTCCACATTGTGATAATCAGGTGACAGAGGCATCAGATTCATTTGTTAGGGTCATAAGCTCACTCTTTCTCTCTTGGACAATGTCACTGCGCCGCTGCTTCATCTCCTCACTCAGCCGCTCCACCATCTTGTCAATGTAGTTGTCCAGCACAATGGAGTGGTTGCGGGCGGTGATCTGGGCGCGGCAGACGGGGCACTCCCGCTTACGTTTCATCCAGGTGTCGATGCAGAATTGGCAGAAGGAGTGGGAACAGTTCAGCGTGGTGGCCTGTGTGAAAAAAACAAAAACCAAATACAAATCCGCGAAAGACAGGAGCTGGCTAGACCATGACCTCTATGAGGACAATGTTGAGAGTGTTGCAAAGCCTACTTGCAAGTGTTAAATTATAGCACTTTCTCAGAACTGATGGCGGCAGTTGTAACCTAACTTGCACGTCTCCATTAGCCATGTTCATGAACTGTATGCAAGCATGTGCCAAGATGTGTTCACCCAGATGTGAACATAACTGGGGTTTTTAGAGTGTGCCTTCTGCCAACAGTGCCCCCACCCCCACTCTAATAATTTTTTCCTTACAAGCTAGACTGACAAGTAAGTAAAGCCCGGTCAAAACATAGATAGTCGTGGAATAGATGCTTCATGATGTCATTCCACCAAGACATTAGCACAATGGCATGCGAAACTCGGAAAAATTTCACATAAAATGCCCTTTTTGGGTGGCGTTCCCACCCCTTGAAGCCAAACTCATACTCTGGTTTGTTGTGATTTGTTTATGGTCAGCTATTTTGTTGACAATTGGAGCTGCATATGTTAGTAATAAGGAGAAAATGGACAAAATGAGTGGTACTAAGCGAGAGAAACATCGTTGTTTGCCCGTCATGCCAGTGTGTGTGTTTTTATAGGTTTACTCAGCGACTCAACGCAGACAGTCGGCAAAGTTGAACCAGGCTCAATTTTGAACATCTGTCTGGGGCTGGTTTACATATGTCTGGATTATTGGTGACACTTCCGTTTAACATGTTTCCATATGTCTGAGTTGCAGTTTGCGTCTTGATTGTGTTGGTCTCTGCAATTCTTACGTCCATATGGAAACCAGGCTTTAACGATAAAATGACATAGACCCTTTCTATCATGTTTCTTACATTGACAGAACCCTCTGGCCAGATCTGAGGTGTCCATTTTCAGGAACAAGAGGTGCGCCAGACACAGTGATGGCATTTTACTTTGAATTTCCACATTTAAACTAAGGTGCATCTATGCATGCCTGCACGACTTCCTTAGTTTGTGGTAATAAGATAAGTGTATAGCCAAATCAAATTTTAGGTTATTCCTGTTTATTGGAATGTATGAGTTTATCCGTTCAAATTCTTTCTGGCCCGATAGACGGCCCAGTGGTCTAGTAGACAGCCCAGTGGTCTAGTAGACAGTCCAGTGATCTAGTGGACTGTTTGTTGAAATATAAGCTCTGCTATCAAGTATGTGTAATATACCTTGATGAAGAGCTCTGAGCAGATGCTACACTGTAGCTCATTCTCCATGACATCGGTGATGTTCTGTAGAGCCTCCTCTTTGGCCTTCTGAATACAAACCTCTTGGTCTTCCTTTTCAAGTCGACTTGCCGTCAGCTGCAAATGCAAACATAGCAGTCACGACAATCTTAACTGCTACTCAGAGTGTTTATATTTTTCCTTGGGAACCTGTGACCGTGAGACCGTAAAAAATTAACTCAATAGTATTGACATATATTGTAATAATTTTGAAATTTAGTATAAATGTTGAATTTTTAGATTTCTATTGTACTCAAATACTTGGTATTTTTAGTAGTCCTTATTTGGCTCAGCAAACAGCAATCCTTCATGTATACATCTGTAATCTGCGATTTTTCAAAAGATGGTTTGTGTTGATGAATTGATATGAGTTTAACAAAACCAACTTCTAATTATGGGGTTTAGGAGTAGGTAGATGGCACAATAGTTAATATACATAATTTGCCATTGATGGGCTCTACATTAGGACAACTACATATCTGGTGATAAATACACACAAGATATGCATCAATTGAGGAGAATCTGGCATAACTTTCTGCTTTCAACAGGGCCGCATTCAGAGCTCCAGAACTGTTTGACTTGATAATCAGCAGCCAATCTACCGGAACAACGCTCCCCCACAAGATCTGCTCACACACACTGACCTCTGTCTGCAGCTCAGAGTATTCCCTCTCTTTGTTGGCGATGATCTCCTCCAGTTTGGCCTTCTCCCTCTCCAGCCCAGCCTGCAGGTCCTTGTCTTTCTCCTCCAGCTTCCGTTCCAGCTCCTTCTGCAGGCTCAGTTCCACTTTGGCCTTCTCATTCTACAAAAAAAAAAAAGAAAAAAAGAAAAAGAGAACTTGAAGAGGTGGGAGATGACAAGTATTTTGTTGCGACTGAGCTAGCGCACAGCTGATGGCATAGTTACTTCCATTTCGAATGGCAAAAACTTTGATCTTAGTCAAAACAAACACCAGGGATGCTGCTCTTGAACAATTCCCCTCCCTGCTATTAGATTTGCTTATGAAGTACTTGCTACATATTGAAATTATCTACATTTTGGAAACTCTCAGAAAAGAACATACATGTAGGAGAAGTGAAATATATGGCAGAGACACACATCTAACCTCCCCCCCCAAAAATACAATGTTTGTGCTGTCTTGTGACTTTCATTCTATCCCGCTGAGCTGTACCACCACATACATGAAAGCAATGCAAATATCGGTGTTGAGCATAAAGAACAGTGATAACCTTTAATACCTGAAGGGCTTCGCGCTGTGTCTGCAGTTGCTCCAGCATCATTTCTTCTTTTCTCTTGATCTCCTCCTCAAGGGTGGTCCTTAGTTCCTCTTGTAATTGGCCGAGTGTTTTATCCTTCTCCTCCAGCTTTTTGCTCCATTCCTCCAGGAGGCTGTTCTCCACTCGTGCCTTCTCCTTGAGAAGCTCCTCCCGCTGAGACTTCAGCTGCTCCATCATGACGGCCTCTTTCTCCTGGACCTGGGCCTCAAGGGTAGACTTCATCTGCATCTGGACCGCCCGGAGCTGCTTCTCCTGGTCCAGCATCCGCTTCTCCCACTCATCCTTCAGCTTCTTCTCCAGGGCAAGCTTCTCCTCGGCCAGAGCGTCCTGTTGCTTCTGCAGCTCCTGCTGGAGCACCTGCTCCTTCTGCTGGACTTGCTGATTGACGGCCTTCTCCATCTCCTCCTGAAGCTGCTTCTTTTTGCTCTCCAGCTCTTCCTTCTCCGACTCCAGGGCCCGACTGATGTCTTGCTCCTTCTGCTTGAGCTGCTTTTCCAAGAGTTCCCTGGCTGACTGCTGCTCAGCCAGCATCCGGCTCAGCTCCCGGTACTGCTCCTCAGCCTCTGCGGCTTTCCTCTCGGCCTGTCTCCTCTCCTCGATGAGCCTTGCTGACAATCCCTCTTCACTAGCGGCAGACAATTTAGTTCTCTTGGCTGAGGGTAACCCTGAGGAGGGGCCCGGATCTTCTGTCCTGTCTGTGTTGGTTGCCTGATAAGATTCCACTTTCCTCTTTTTCTCCTCTTGGTCTGTCCTACCCTGGTCCAGGCCGTCCCCACTTTCAATCGTTCTTTTGCTGACCAATCGCTGTGACTCCTGGCTCTCCTTCCGACTATCTGTTCTTCCTGCTGCTGGCCTGTTCCTTTGTGCATTGTAGGAATCCAGGATTTGCGAAGCTTCCTCCGGACTAAGGTTTTCATGAGTCACTGTGAAGACAAACTCCGCTTGGTCCTCCCCATCTGCAGACACTCCAAGTTGTACAAGGTCTCCGTTTTTGAGAGGATTGGGATCCAGGGCCTTTATTCTTGATGAGTTAACTTGGACACCATTGAGACTCTGTTGTTAGAGACACACACACACAAAAATAGCTAAGCACAATTTTCATTTCTAAAATTTGCCCTTGCCCCATTTGCCCTTGGGGAAAGACTGCCAGAAAAGAATGTTGGGCATTCAAACTTCCAAGCTTCACATACTGGAGAAATTTGTTAGTAGATCACAAGAGAAGCTTGACTTCGTTGCGCGCATTTTGGAAATTAGCCATAGGATTATCCCTCCCCTTCACCCTTCTGTACATTCGTTTAGGTCAAAAAGACCAAAGGGCAGAAAAGGGGGAAAATAACATCCCAGAAACTAACAGGAAAATGCAAATCACCAATAAAATTCCCAATAATATTAGAAAAAGGGCAAAAACTAGCCCCCCCTCCTCAAATTTTCAAGGTCAACACATTGCAGAATTTCACAATCCCCTTCCTCACCCATGGACTTAAATGTACACCCTTCCAAATGGACAAATCCAGCGAGTTTTCACTGGACATTCCAGATGGCCCCCTTTAATGGCGGAAATCACTATGTTGGGTTTTACACAGAATGACTGTGGCAGAACAGTGGCTCTGTACAATGGTTGTTCACAGTGCTTTCTGCCATTGGTGAGATCCACTGCAAGTAACCAGTGACAGCATTCTCGTCAGCCGATTTGTCCAGATACCTTATTATCGATGACCGACCACTGTCCCCTCGATGTCTCTTTAAAGATGACATGTTTTCTTGACAACATTAGTGGATTCTTCTTTGACAGAAGCATCACCGAAACATCTTGCCCCCGTCCTAAGGTCACCTGCAGAAAAAGGCCAATGCTTAAAATTTCATTTAGGTATCAAAAAACTTTTTTCAACTTCATTCAAGAACAGCGTACTAAAAAAAGTACAACTTCAACTCCAGCATTGTTCAGCGTTTAAGGCAATGGATATATTCTGACTGTGAACTAGTTCCAAAAAGGGTTTCGTTCTTTGTTACTGGCATGGCACTGAACATGCACGGTGATTTTTGTTGCTGATTTTATGAGTGTGTATTTTTGTAACTACTGTAACAAATCTTAAGTATTTGTCTTGATCCGTGGTGAACAATGTTGTCCAAATTTCACTTTTTGAAAATTATCATCCAAGGCCACAAATCATAAAAAGAAAATAACCCCGAGTTAGATGCAGGATTGGATTTACAACCTGACAATAATATGGCATGCTGTTGTGGCATTTTGTGAAAGAGAGAAAAAATCAAGAAGAATACCTTCAGTCATATCACATCATTGTGGTTCGAAACCCAGCAGTGTAAGTAGGGCCTACAATGTGCTGACCTGACTAACGTCCACAACGGTATAGAGGGATCCCAATACGACGCTTTTAGCATCAATTTGCGCACTTCTGCATTTGAAAACGAGGCTGTATGTGTCAGCTTCAATTCTTAATACGATCAGACGATTGAAAGTTTTGTTGAAGAGACTTTCAGAATGACTCGACGTGTGAAATCAAAAGAAAAAACAATGGCAATTTGTGCAGTGGGCATGGTTTAAACTGAAGTAGTATCACACTTACGAACCGGATACTGCATGTACTGTGTTGACTCCGCGGGTGCGCGCGACGAAGTTTAACACAGAGAGCATCGGTTTTGATGCAGATATGCACAGATGGCGCTAATGTGACATCCATCTATAGTCGGCAGGTCCCGCATTTCGCCACTTAGGCCTACTGTAAAAACCAATCAGATTTTAACAGGTGGCAAAATTAGGGACCTGGCGACTATACCGTATTGGACGTTACACTCTGTAAACAAACACAAACACTCAGCCACTTCATAATGTTGGTCATTCAACATGTTTTTTTGGGAATTGGAATAACATGGGAATTTGGTTTACTAGGCCTAGGCCTGTAGTGTATAGACTTACTACAAGAACTCAAAGTCACCACTCTGTCATACAGAGTATGACAGAGGGGTGACTTTGAGTTCTCGTACTCGTAGTGCTAGTCTATCTGTCTATGGTGTTGGTCTAATTCAAAATAAGGGCACTATACAAATTTCGCGCAAGGCCGGTCCTATAACAGAAAAAAAGTAAGATCGGTTCACAGCAAAATGTACACTTTGACTATGCTTCGTTACATCCATCCTCTATGATACATCCTGTTCTTTCTTCCTTTTTGTTTACCTCGGTGCCCGATGGAAGAGGAATCACAGCATACTTTCTACTTTGACTGCCGCAACGCCGTAAACACCACTCACATTCGCCTGCCATGTTGACAGGACTTTCTATGAAATAATCAGTAAATTCTGACGTAATTTCAGAGGCTATAACAAACTGGTAGGCCTACAATCACTTCAAGTTCAAATCTACCACCAGCACCATTAATCCCTGATCAGCGTGAATCTACGTGCGGTCCTCATCACTTGTTGTTTACGGTAAATGCGCTTCTTGGCTTCTTGCACGGAATTTGTAGTCTGGTTTTCAGACCAAAAAATTCTGACTACCGTCGCTGTCACGTGACTAAGAGCGCGTTACGTTGCAGGCTGGTGGCGTAAAGAGGCCTTGCTGCGCTGCCAAGGAAGAGGGGCCGATGGGCATATATCAACAAGATCATAGCAGACAAGAGAGAAAAGTCCTATCCAACTGGGAAGAGGAAATGTATACAATGTCACGTACTCAGAAGCAAAGTGACACACCCGGCGTCGACGTAGAAGGGTATCATCAAGTCTGAGGTATTTTCGAGCAAACTGATAATTTTCATACCTTTTCCTCTTTTATTTTTTGTTTCTTTGTCTTTTTCCTTTCCCCGTTTGATTTTGTGGAGATCGACTGTGCCATTTCATCTTTCTCTTCCTCATTCCCATCTTGTTCTTTGATTTTCAGACTTTTTTCCAAAATGGTGGAACACATGAATTTGAAAGTTAGAATGAACATCAACCCTGATCCAAGAGTGTACCTACAACGTTGACGTCATGAGGACACTCATCAGGTGCCAATTACGAGCAGTTCACATTGAAATGTTTAATCTTAAAATTCAGACGGTCAATCTTGGGATCAGTTATCATGCTTTTTGCAGCAACTTATAGAGTAAATTTAAGTCTTCGTTTGTGTTCGTGTGTGGAAATTTTCCTTGAAGTAGGGTGACCCTTGTAATTAGTGGCAGTTTAGAAAATCCACTCATATGTACATGTACATGTATACTTAAGGCCCAATCTTCTCTGAATATTGCCCTCCAATCAGTTGGAGGCTAGAGGTCCGAGTTGGCCAGTCCTCAAGGTGGTCCATGAGTACATATAAACTTCCCGTGAACGGTGTACTGAGTTCTTGGCCACGTTGGCACACTCTCCAAAAAATTCCAGTCGGGGTAGTTACCCACATGTCGAGTCCTTCAATATTAACGTTCAGTCAAGATTTTGATGTAATATTTGTCAGTAGCCTACTGTCCACTTGATGGAAAGAATTGAAAACTCCTGTCATTGTTTTATTATGTTTAAGATAGATGTTTATTATATTAACTATTTATATCTAGCAGAATATGGTACTTTAAGAAACCACATGAGTTAGGAGGCATATGATTTGACCCAAACACTGAACTCCCTAGTAACTGAATGCACCGAATGTCATGTAATGGGAGTTTAAGTGGTTTATTTTCTGTTTTGTTTAGATCTTATATAATGAACACGGAGCTGCCGTTTTGAGTACATGTACTGCGTTATAAGGCGGGACAATAGGATAGGATAGGATATTAAGCTAATGATATTTACAACTGTGTTTTGTTGATGGTTTATTAGGACTCAATCATTAAGTCAGTTTCTTTTGTCAGTTTGAATAACGCTTCGTTCATGGGCTTTCAAAGTGTTGCATTTAAGATGTTCTTTGTGAATGTCTACTCCAGAGTTCTCGATCATTGCTGATTTCATTCCCCTTTTTGTAGACTTAAATGTTTTATGAATTTTTAGCACCTATCGATCTATAATGTTAACTTCGATTGTATTCGTGGTCATGCGTTGTTTTTCATTGGATTTCTAGGAAGCTTTGGTCTTTAATTTCTCTAGACATTACCATATGCTTTTAATTCACAATAAGCTGTCACAATTTTGTGTATTTTATATCCTTTGCATGTAGTTTTCACGGTGATTTGGAGCCCTGAATAATACCATGTTTCAAACATCATCAGTAGACTGTGCTTGCCGGCGTCCGTGTTTAATTCATTAACTAGCCTCAATCGAGTGCTTTAGTATGCTGTATTTCCCTTTCTTCGGGGTAAAACTGGAATTATTACAAATGTATTTGCGATTAGTAAAATACGGAAACTTGCTTTTAACGGTGTTTTCTTGATAGTAGAGCCTGAAAGTAACAAGTCGCGAACTTGGCGTGCTTCCTGAACTCCAGCCTTAGCGCAGTGGTCCGCCTATAAATGGTGCTCCGGCTGTTGTATTACGTTCGACAATTTTTGGAAGAATGATTCGTACTGAAACCACCCCGAGAAAGACTCATCTCAGAAATTTACCCCTTTTTCCTCAAGTAATATTTGGAAAGAGTTCTTTGTAAGTGGGTAAAACGACTTTCATTGACGACCTTTAACTTCTGGCAATATCGTTCCTAGGTCTCCTTGTTCATGCGCGTTTGTTTTCGCTTCATGTGCTTACGTGAAGACGGTATTGTACAACGCTGCAAAGATTTCAAATCTTCTGTTAGTTACCTACCAGATTGAGCTGAGTTGACCTGACGCAGGTCTTGTCAGCAAAGGTGAGATTAACTTAAGAATATTTTGTTAACGCAATATATTCCTTTAAGTTTAAATCCTTATAAATTGTAAAATTCTTGGATCTTTTAATCTGTTTTTACTCTAACTACCATAAAATATGTAATATCATTGTTGTTCATCTTGGTACAAGAACATCGAATTGCACATGTCTTCATGTATTTTAGATTTTCGTAAGTCAGAGGTCAAATTTTGGCAGAATTTTTCTCATTTAAGTCAGGTAAACTTTCTGTTTCTTTAAATTACTATGCTCCCAAATATTTTAGCAAGGCCTTTATCAGAGGTGATTTTTAAAGAAGTAAACGAACCAAAAAAGTAAAACTCAATACTATAATGATAAGGCGTTTGCGCAAGATATTATCCTGTTTCTTATAGTCCCTTCGAATGAAGAAGCCTTTCTTAACAAAAATTAAGTATCTGCTGTTGTATGATTTTCACCATGCCTAACTGTTGCCATAAAAACTTCCCGTTTGTCCTCTTAAATAGTTGCTTCCCCCTTCCTCTTGTCATGCATCGATTTCACTGATATCAGTGTTTTATAGCTGTAATTATCAGGCTCAATGTGTTTCCGTTTCGGCACCCGTAGCACTGACTTGGGGGAACTTGACGATCCCTCATGCTTATGGCGACACAAAGGTCGAGTTCGGGCGGCGTGTTCTTGACACGGTTTTCTTGTTCTCACGCTCGAACGGCGGGAACAGGACCCAAGAACACTGTTCTCGGAACAGGATCACACACCACCTCCGTCTCAGGGTTTTACATGAACACACGGAAAAACTCGTGAGATTTTGATTTTTGAACAGCTGCAAAAAAATAGAGAGATGGCTTACAAAGTCGGAGACAATAGGAAGTTTTGCAAAATTAACATTAATTATTTTCCATAACACAGAAGTAGATGTTCCTGTTTCAATTGAAAAGAATTCAGCCCAGTTATCCAAACATTAACTCTCAAATGAAGTACATGGACGCCACCATGTTGCATAATGCTTGTCGCTAACTACCAGCGATAACCAGAACTTTGTACGTTCCCGGCGTTCGAGTGGCCGACCCAAGAACAACAAGTCAAGCTGTTCGTAAACACACGAAAACAAACCGCCCAAACTCAGCCATAAGGTCTTGATTACGCTGAGGGCTCTCTACATTGTATTTATGAGGGCGCTGTCGCAGCATTCCGATTCGGCTGTCTTTCATAATCTGCCGTTAGCGGGTTGGAGTAAGACCTCCTAGTTCAAGAATGCTACCCCGAGAAGTCATTCGGGCTCTGCAAAGAAATTGCCTCTTTAATGGGCTGCAGGATGCATATTATACAGGGGAAGGGGCGTTGGGGGGGGGGCGTTGGGGCCCCCCTTTTCACACACCCCAAATAAACCCAGCCCATAAATGTGACAAAGGTTTACGGTTACCCAACCTCACAAATTTTACGGCCCCTTCCCTGTTTGGAAAATCCTGGAGAGATACACTCGATCACCTCTTCCTGATGCCATCCTTTTTGATCACGACTTACCATAACGCACTCTCTTCTTTACCGCTACTTGTGTATTCGTCTGGTAGTGATTCGTGTCGCGGAATGAAATACTGGAAGGTCTTGGGACGAAGACTTCTTTTTTGCTGTCTGAGCTGAGATTTTTCACGGTGAAAAGCCACCACTTCCAAGCCTTAGTTTGGATATACGACTACGTTTACCACAACGCTGGGCAAAGAAGTGCCAGTGGTAGTGGATGCGGAAGACATTTTGGCCAATGCCACGAAAATCCACGACAATTTGCTTAGCCGGGGGGGGTCAAAGAAGAGCGTCCCTCCAATTATATGACACCGAAGTTTATATAGAGCAATCGAAAGGAAACTGATGTCTTCAAGCCTGCATTCGAAAACACAGGTTTCCAAGGCAACAAGGCAACGGTGAAGGAGACCGACGCTATCAGCCCATACATGTAGCAACTTGTTCAAGATGCTTTGCCGTATTTGCTACGATAAACTTTACAAGCACCACTAGGTTGTGGATTAAATAACTTGGTTGATCAACGAACTAGTTGATCACATTGCTGATTTGCCAATTTTTGTTCCATTTTTTTTTAAATCTCGGTTCATCTTTTTCCCTTTCGATTATTTTAAATTTTTAATATCGAACATAGCCTTTATAAAAGCAGCTGTCCTCAGGTTTATCCAACGGACATTATCAAAATTTCTAATCCGTCTCTGCATGGTTCTTTTGTGTTGATAAACTTTTCATGTTGACTCTCCATGATAGACATGTTCATTGCACTGAAATCAAACCATTAATAACATCTGGATTATTTAAATTGTGGACTGAAAAAGTCGATTCTGACCAAAAACATCCACAGTTTATGATTTGTATATTCTCGAAAATCTGTATTCTCTTTTAAC